CGTATGGAAAAGAACAAGGATCTGTTTGCTTTCAGAGGAAGGAGTAGACACTGCTGTCAGCGACCAGCTTTCAAGCAAATAGTGGAATCATTTTGTTTTCTTTCTTCTTAAAGCTCAGTTTCATCTTTTTCTTTCCTGATCTTTTCACTTGATCACATGCTTACTTGTATAGGGAGCAGAAGTTGATGGTGTGTTGAGTCATGATTTTTGTTATCACTGTTTTGATGCTAAATCATAATTATTTAATTTCAAACATGCATATATATCCCAGGGGTCCAGTTAGAGGTGTGGGCAGCCAGCAGCCCTATGCTGGTAGGGGGCCCCAGTAGGTTGCATACTTTCTCCGTTGTAGTATGTCCGCCCCTGTTCATGCTCTACTTAGCTGTTTTCTAGATTTATTTTTTTTACTAATACAAAGAAAAGTTAAATTCATTTTTACACCTTGTTTCGTTTTGAAGATTTTTTTAGATTGTTAAACTGCAAACGGACACAAAGTCTTGCGTTTTTATTCTTTGTTTATCACTCGCATAAGTTTGGCTTCTGTTGTTAATGCATAACAACTTTCTTAGTTTTTGTCTTCTTTATAGATTGTGATGATTTCAGATCTCTCCCTTTCTGTCCACACATACACATAATTGTTTTTATACTGCACCAAACACAATAGTTTGAATTTTTCCCCCAGTCATAGCATTACCAGGGTTTTGACCTCCCCCCTGAAGTCCCGAAAGAGGGTCAAAAGACCCCGAGTCCAAACTGACGACTCTGATGGCTCAAATTAGCATCCCTTGTTCAGTTGTAAATATGGCCATTGCCTGAGGAATCAGAGGGGGGGAGGAGAGCCAAACTCACAAAAGCATTACACACCTGTAACGTCAGGCCAGAAGGTAGGAGTGTGAATAGTCAATGTTGGGGGTGGGTGCGATGTATGATGGAGGCAGCTCTGCACATGCAAATTTGCATGCAGCCTTTTGTGCTGTAGAGGATAAATAGGTGACTGCTTCACCTTTTAGTTCACAAGAAACAAAATGCAGAAGAGGTTCACCACTCAGGAGGCATTGGAACTGATTCTGAGCAGTGCCAGCCCTTGTGATTCAGATGGAGAAGACATAGACCTTCAACTGGATTCGGACTCTGAGCTGTCTTCAGGTTAGATTTCTCAACCTACCTATTTTATTTTCCTGACTATTTTTTATTTAGAGCCAAACTAAAAGTTAATTTGAAATTGTTTATCTTGCAGATGAGGAGACTCTCCCTCTACCAAAAAAGAGAGCTCGTTTGGGGAGTGAGTCATCGGAGACCGCGACTGATGGCACAGTGTGGCGTGAAGAACAAGTGGGGACACATCTCCATTTCACTCCAATAGAACCGTACGCCACAGATGGAGAGCCAAGTGCTGAGGCCAGACAAAGTATCCGGAGTCGCCTTGACAGCTTCCTCTGTTTTATCACCCTTGACATGCTTAGTAGCATTCGAGAATGGACTATTCAACATGCACGTCACACGGAGCAGCTGGATTGGTCCTTGGATCTCCCGGAACTGATGGCATTTATTTCAGTCATTATCTTGCGGGGGGTGACCAAGGTTCCATCACTATGTGACAGCTGGTCAGCAAACCTGGCAAACCCAAGGATCATTGCTACTATGGCCCGAAGCCGCTTCCAAGACATCATGCGACACCTACGCTTTGATGACATGTCTACACGCAGTGAGCGAGCGGAGACCGATAAGTTTGCTGCAATCTCCGATGTTTGGGGATCGTTTGTCACTAACTGCATCGCATCCTACAACCCTGGTCGACACATCACTGTTGGTAAACAGATTTTTCCATCAAAGACTCGCTGCTGTTTCCTGCAATACACTGCAACAAAACCGGACAAGTTTGGCATCAAGTTTTGGGTGGCTTGTGACTTGAAATCAAAATACATCTGTAATGTCTTCCCATATCTTGGCAAGGACCCCGATCGTCCCAGCGGGGAGAGACTGTCCGAGACTGTAGTGATGAGGCTGATGGAACCGTTCTTGGACAAGGGCAGAACTGTAACCACAGACGATTTCTTTACATCACTGTCACTTGCACAACGACTGCTTAGCAGGAAAACCACTATCCTCGGCACAGTCGACAAGAGACGCCGGGAAATTCCTCAGTCCGCTAGACAGATGGATCGCACTGAATTCACCACTCAGGTGTTTTCAACCACTGGTGCCACGCTGACAGTGTATGCGCCCAAACGGAATAAGGCCGTTTACGTTCTCAGCAGCATGCACAGCGTGGTTGAGACTGAGGATACCACCAAAAGGAAGCCAAACACGGTCACAAAATACAACAAAACAAAGTGCGGCGTGGATGTGATGGACCAAATGGTGCGGGAGTACAGCGTGCGTGCAGGAACACGGAGATGGCCAGTTGCCGTGTTCTACAACATGATTGACATGGCAGCACTGAATGCACATGTGCTTTATCAGGCATGCATTGGGGTGCAGGAGAGACGGGTGGACTTCCTGGTTGAGCTTGCAAAAGAGTTGGGTAACTCTTATGTGAGTGAGAAGAAGGCACACAAGGAGAAACTGCTTCGGCAACAACCCTCCACACCCAGCTCAGGCAAAAGGGCAAAGTGTCAGGTCAACCATCGATGCAAGAACAATCGTGCAACTGTGAGATGTGTTGACTGCTACAAATACACATGTGGCAAATGCACAAAGGTCATACCCTGGCAGTGCCAGGTATGTTCCGACAGACAGACTGCTGAGTGAGTGCTGAAATGTCAGTCACACAAGGACATGCCACTCACATGCCCCCCACTGTGCCTAGTGTAAATATGTGTGGAGTGGTTTTATTTCTTGTATTTTTTGTATCGTTTTTAATGACAAAAATAAAAAGCATTCAAACAAATAACAGTTGTTCTTTTGTATATTTCTCATGCTGGAATTTCAGTCCTCTTGACTTAGACACAAATATTTCTGGTCATTGCTCACAGCTGTACCTGGCTGTAAAATATATCTCCATTTAAAATATTAAAATTAATTAATTGGGCTTTTTTGCTAAAATAAAACTAAGCTAAATATAATATATATAATCTTTATATTATAAAATACAATATACTGAATAGAACTTACTAGACAGTTAGTTGGGAGTTAAGCTTTCCCCTTCCTTTGGTGCACCAGTAATGACCTTATTTACAGAACAAAAGCGCCTGTTCACATTAAAATCCTTCAGGTCAGTCGACCCGTCTCTGGGCTCCAAAGGTAGAAATGTTAAATGACCCTTCTCTGGTAATTCTAGTTTAATTGCTTTCAACAAAAATGTCTCTCCCAACTCTTAGATTTTGCCCTGACTTTAAATCTTGTAAAAAAAAATTGCCTCTTGTTCCATGCAGGTGTCTCCCTATTACTCCAAAAAAAAAAAAACATGACTATTATCTGAATGACTGAGAATCTTCATCAGCATATCTCCCTGTTATGTTTAAGATATGGATGTTTAAAGTAATACTATTAGGAATGAAAACTCTCAACAGAAGATGATGAAAAAGGATCTACTAACAGGAGCTATAGGGACAACAATTCGACCCGATGCTTGCTAAATAAAAAAGGTTTGATTGGTTACTTTTTTGCAAAAAAAAAAAAAGTTAAGATTTTCTTAATATAGCCACAAAGTTGTAAGTTTGGTAATAGTGTTGCAAACGTTGCAAATATGTAAATACACTCAAAACGTAAAGCAAACAAAATTAGATCACCACAATCAAAGGAAAAATGCTGCTAAGGAGAAATGTTTCTATCACAGAAAATGAGAGATGCTAAGCGCGTGCACGCTGCAAGCACAAAACCTACCTGCAAAACGAAATGTTAATATTTGAAAACGAAACTGAAAAGGAAATCTGCTGCAGGGCTTAAAAAAATATTTAAAGTCAGGAAAATCTGAAAAAACTACAGAAATATTGAAGATTTTTTGTCCCCAGTGTGGTCACTTCTATTATCTGGAGCTAGCTTGCAGTTTTACTTAACATGCAATTGTTTTTGCTACTTGCAGGATTTCCACTTTACACTTGTTTTGTACGTTTAAGTGTTATTTAATCATTGCAGTAAGTTTTTATATTTGCAGTGAATTTATGCATTTTGCAATGTGTTTGCATTTCTTGGCCACCGTAGAAATCCCATTCACCTGGCAGCATAGGTTTTGGTTTAATTTCACTTTTATATGGTTAAAAAGTCGTAAAATCTGCTGCAGGGAGGTAGAGGCAGAAAAATGGGATGAATAAATTCAGAATCCTTTTGACCTTCAAATTAAAGAAAACAACTATAACCCCCAAGCAATATTAGCAAAGTACTATGTATATTTTACTAAGCAATGTGTAGTTAATCAAAATTCCAACATGATAATATTTACGCCTTTCCTGGAGCTTATTAAAAAACTGTTTGTTTTCACTACAGCGCCCTTGCTTATGTAGAGAATATTAAGTTACAAAAACACTAATTGAATCCATTAAATGCGATTTGCACTCATTGCTTAATTTATATAGTTTGGGAGCGCTGATACCTCAGATCCGAAAGCCTGACTGAACTAGGTTATTATGAAAGAAGGGCCTTGGTCCGAGGGCTGGACTCTGTGCAGCTGTAAACACCATCCAGCCAAAGCCTAACCTTATATCCTAAACCAGAGGTCTGCAACCTGAGCCTCAGGTGGCCTAAAATCATATAAGGAAGCAACTAATGTTGTATAACCATAAATAGCAATCGGAAAAGCTCTTGGAATTTTTTTTTTAATAATTCATTTAAATGTCACAACAAAGCAACATTGACAGAACCAGAAATATATTTTAGATCTACTTTTCTTGTCTTTAGCTTTTAAATTATGTTGGGGTTTTTTTTTCTCATCAATTATTTATCCTATGGAAGAAAATCCAAGCTTGATCTTTATGAAACTTTTTCTGTTTTTACTTGTTTCAAAAGCTAAAAACACAAACAAACTGTTGGTTAAGTAGCAAAAGATTTACTTCTTATTAAAAAAAACATTAAGCTGTTTTTCAATTTTAAAGTATATATAATATTTGTGATGCTGAATGACTTTTACTCAGAGGAACAAACTGTCTTCTTAGATCTTAAAGGTTGCAGACCGTTCTCCTATAATGTACATCTGTTAAAAAAAAACCTTACAGAGCTTGAGATGATTTAGGAAATAATGGAAAATAACCAGAAACTTGTGAGTCAAGCCTGTTGAAAATAAAGCCAAAATGAATTTGGATTTTCAAAGAGAAAGTAAAAACACTGTCAATATGTATGTTTATGTGATTCTGGTAGCTTTGAAAAAAATTTAATAGATACGCAAAAAAATAAAAAAGGGTTCTATTTGTGAAGAAGGAAGAGACAAAAACGGAAATAACACAGAAAAGTGTGAAAAAGGAAAGACTGCCTGAATAATAAACCAGCTTCTTCTGTCTATGTTGATGTTTTTTATGTTTTAATCAAAGCTGTTTTTTTTTAAAGGAGATAGTGAGCTGAAGCACATCATTTAGAGCAGTGATTCCCAAACAGGGGGAACTTTTACCACTAGTGGTCAGCGAGTGCATTGCAAGCGGTACATGAAAATATATTATTATTTCTTAGAATTTGATTTCTTCATTTGAATTGCGTTAATTCCTAAATTTATATTTTTTGTATAATTTACAGATTTTATTTGCAGGTTAATAATTGTTGATTGTATTTATCTTTGTTTTATTATTTTTCTTATTTATTTTATTATTATTTTTTCTACTAATGACAGGAAGTGATGTGGATCAGTCCACTTTCTATAAGTGTAGGGGCCTGGGAAAGGAACAGCAGGCTTTTTGGGGTTTGGGGTCAATGGTTTTTACCAGAGCAAGAGAAATAGGACAAAAGAAAAGTTTGAACTCTGTAATTGTTGGCTGAAATAGGAAAATAAACCATCCAGAACCATCATCGAGTTTGGACATTGAACCTTCTTTTGCCTGCATACAGAAACTTGACCCCAGTGCCTTAGTAGTGGCTTAATTGAACTTTAATTGGATGTTTGGCTTGGCAAACAATCCCCACTACAGATTAGTTTTTCTTCTATGTTAGAGTTCACCTTCAGCTGTGACACACATCCAAACCAAGTGGAGGAACAGACTGGATGTGGAGAATCAGCTGTTTTTCACACTGAGCTATCGGAGTTCATCAAAGCAGCTCAGGTGTCTTGATGAAAACAAAGTAAAATTAAGTCAGTCTGACTATAATTTTTGTTCTGTATTTTGTTCCCAATTCATCAAGTTTAAATGGGATTATAAGGAAGTTACTCATAAGGGCTCCAGTTTTATAAATACAGGTTTATAATCTGATTTTATTTAGTATTTATTTGAATTCCTTACTAAATTCTAGGCTTGTATGTTGTTTTTTTATTTGAGATGGAAAGCATAAAATACCTGAGAATTAAATGCTTGAATCAAAAGATTAAGTAAAATAGTTTCATCCATCCATTTTCTGACACGCTTTATCCCGAGTGAGGTGGCGAGGGGTGCTGGTGCGTATCTCCAGCTGTCCACGGGCGAGAGGCGGGGTACACCCTGAACAGGGCGCCAGCCCATCGCAGGGAAACACCATTAACGCACACATAAGGAGAATTTAGGGAAGCTAATTAACCTAACAGTCGTGTTTTTGGACTGTGGGAGGAAGCCGGAGTACCTGGAGAGAACCCATGCATGCTCAGGGAGAACATGTTAACCCGGGCCGGGAATCGAACCCATAACCTTCTTGCTGCAAGGCAGCAGTGCTAGCCACTGCCCCAAGTAAAATAGTTTTTATTTTATAATCAGTTATTGTACCTTCCACTTTTGGATAATACTTTTGACTGAGAGGGAGACTCACGGTAAGATAAAATGCCCAAAGGAGAACTCAAGTCAAAAAAGTCTGAGAAACACTGATTTAGAGTAAATCATATAACTGATTAAGCTCTCTCAGACCCTTTAGAGTAACCGGCGCTTTGTGAAGCAGCTCTCTGTGTTGGTGAGAGCGGACTGTTTGATTGTTTTAACCGCTTGTTTTCTTAAAATGAGCTGCAGGAAGTCTTTCCTGTTTTGAATACACTATGAATAGAAGGGAATTGTGTGTGTTTTTGCTCCTGTCTATGTATTTGCCAACATGTCAATGAAGGATGGGGGATGTAAGAGGTGGCCTTCCAAACAGGCTACAGGTAAGTGTGTTTTCCACGTTCCGTTCACTACAATATATGATCCACTTCAGAGTGTGATGTAGATGTATGTGATTTATGGCCTGACTGCCACCGTCCACTCTACAGCATCCCCATTTGCGTACTTTTCCTCGCCTTTCTCACAGAGCCTCTCTTCTTTATCACCTTTTCCTCATGACCAGGAAACAGGAACTTCCAGCTTCTGTTTCTGTCTCTTCCAGGTGGAAGTAAGAATGTGGGAAGCTCTGGTGTCAATGTGTATACATCAGAGTATTGGAAAAACTGACCCCTTTGACCCGTGAGCTTTTCTTCTCCTCTCTCACGTAGAAGCAAACCATTTATAGAACCAAAAGAAATAGAATTGCCATCCCTCCAAAACACACATCGCCGCGGTTTCACACGCTGTGATGGAAACCCACCTGTTATCTCACACCCTCTCTCTGGAACGGTTTCATTTTTCGAGCCTTGGTTTGCATCAGTGATTCCAGATGCCACACAGCTCAATGCTAACCCATAAAAAAAAATAAAATATAGAGGTAAAATATGACTATTGCAACACTTTTGTATCCAGTTTACCATGTTCTGCAGGGACTCACCAGCTTTGCATTAAAGCACAGGAAATGTTAATGGAAAATCTGGATTTAAAAAAACAAATATCTATTCTACTTTTCTTTGTGCTATTTGGTGACTTTAATTGCAATTAAATTTTATCTCCATGAGGACTTGAACTATCTGTATTTATGAGTATTTTATTATGCGTTAGCTGGGATTGGCTGTTCTGCCTGTTTCAATCAGGCAGGAAAAAAACAAAACACGTTTATGAACTTGTTTGGTAAGGTTTATTAGAAATATGTACAACAGCATGCAAACACAGGTATATCAACAATATTTACAATATTTACAAGTGAAAATCTACAAATGAGAAGGAGAAGTCATGGACCAGCAGACTGCTTCTTATCTTTCCTCATATTTGAAAAAAAAAACAAAAAAAAAACCTCTTACAAATATATCACATATGTACAGAACAGTGCAGCTCAGGGAAACCCTAGCTGGAATGCAAACTGGAGGATTCAGATTCGGTGGTTGTTGAAGTCCCGGCACGTCTCTTGGGCAACACCTTCAAACTGGAGGCCCTGCTAAGGGTTAGTGCCCTGCGGGCAGAGCTCTTGAACCCGGCCCCCAGAAACGCGTAAAGCAGCGGGTTCAAGCAGCAGTGTGCGAACGCCATGGCCTCTGCCACCGACAGCCACACGTCTAAAGCTGTCTTCAGCCTGCAGCTCCAGGGCAGGATCTCCAGACGCAGCAGCGCATCCACAGAGATGCCCACTCCATATGGGAACCAGCACAGAAAGAAGCAGAGAACCAAGGCGATAGTTGTCCTGACTGCCCTCCGCTTCTGCCGCTGGCCCCCCAATGGGCCTCTGGTCAGCCTGGAGACGATGACGCAGTAGCACACCAGAAGAACCAACCCAGGGATCACTAGGCCAACCACGACCAGCTGGAGGTTAAAGACGGCAATCCAGACACGGGGATTTTCTCCTGGGTAGAAGCGCTGGCATGCGATACCCTCTCCGCCCTCGTTAGTCCGAGCAAATATCATATCTGGGACAGCCAGCAGAGTAGCAGGCAACCACGCACCTGTAGGGCAAAGGAGGACAGAAACAAGTTGGAAAAATCCTGTCTGGGTTTGGGTATCAATAGTGGCAGCTCTAGATGAAAATTACCAGGGTGGGAGCAGTTATTCTTAATGGTTGCAAACAAAAAAATAATGAAACAAAAAGAACAAAGCAAAGGTACATTTTGTATTTTGAACATGTCTTTATAACTGTTCTAGTTAATAATAAAAATGAAATATTTAATTGTTCCAAGGAACAAATTGATTATAGTCTTGTTTTTTATCATAGAAAACTGAATTGGTGCCACAGAAAACCTGATTTAAAAAAGGAAAGGTTTCTAAAAATCAGTGTATATGCCCTTAATCTGAGCAGATAAATACAATAATCTGCCAAAGGAAGGAGGAGTTTGGCTCTCAAAGCAAAATAATATGATACTATGCAGTTGAAGATGGAATTATTTTTCTTTTTTTAAACATAAATCATCATTTGATTTGCAATTTGTCTTACATACCGTCTTAAATCAAGGTAAGTAACATCTATTTCAAGAAAAACTGACTTGCCTTTTATCTTTTAATACAGCAAGGTGCAAGGACCAGGTCTAGAGGGGTGCTGGCCCCTTTTGGCCCCCATGTAGAACCGCCCAATGTATCAACATAGGATCATAGCGTCATTCTTAGTGTTAGTGTTCAATTTGAAACTAGATCTTTTTTGTATTTATAACAATGAAATTTGATCCATTTTCTGGTTTATTTAGAATGAAAAACAAACAAAAACAAAACATTAGGAATGTAGTAAAGAAGAACGAATATGTGTCCTTTAATAAAACGGCAAAAACAAAAAGCTGAATGTTGGAAAAACTGTACACTAGAACAAAATTGAAATCTAGATTAGTAATTTTTTCTTAAAATAAGTGTATTTGTCCTTGGATTGAGAAGGTAATAGACACCATTTAAAATAAGAAAACAATTGCATTGTCTTATTTCAATTGCATGTTATCTAATTATCTTATTTTAAGAGTAAAAATACTCATTCCATTGGCAAACTTTACCTACTCAAATTAAGGGCAAATACACCTAATTTAAGACATTTTTAATTATTTGTAGATCGTTTTTCTAGTGTAAATCATATCTCAGTCTTATGTTTACATTTTATCACTGCTGCACTTTAAGAAAAGGAAATGTATTGAAAGCTGCACTGAACGAAATTTAATTTTGTTTACGTTCTGTGTATACAAAATGACAATAAAGTTTAAAGTCTGAGTTTTACGCACCTACATACACCGCCTTGTGCGCCAGCATCTGCCTCAGCCCGCCGGTGTTTGTGTCTGTGGCCCGGACCACGGCCAGGTACCGGTCCAGACTGATGAAGGCCAGGATCAGCACGCTGCCGTACAGGTTGACAGTATAGATCACGTGGACGCCGATGCACATGGCGGCTCCAAAACGCCAGTCATTCAAGGCTGCATCTACTGCCCAGAAGGGAAGCGCCAAAACAAAGAGGAGATCGGCAACGGAAAGATGGAGTCGATACCAGTCTGTCAGGCTGCACTTTGACCTGTGGGGCAGAGAGAGGGTCACCTGGTCAGGGGCCTCATTTCACCTCTCAGGGGGAGATAAAACCTGCTCCTGTCCTCTCACCTGCGCTGGCAGCCCAGCACCAGAACAACCAGACCGTTTCCGGTGATGCCAAGGATGAAGATGAGGGCAAAAACCACAGGAACGAAAACCCGACGAAGCTCGTCTGTCATCACCTGCGCAGCATTACAAGGCTCCTCCAGGTCCATTCCCTCATCTCCGAAGCCTGAACCAGAACCCGTGTCATTGAGGTCGTAATCCAAGATGATATGCTGGAAAAACACAGTGGAAATGTTTATTCTCTGACTTCTGAACTTCTAATGTGCAGCTGAACCAAACTCACCTCATAGTAGGACATGATGGAGACAATCCTCTGCAGAATGAAGCCAACTCTCCCCTCTGAGAGCTTTTATTGCTGCCTCTATGCCCCTCCTCCAAACACTCCCAATGCATCTGTCTGCCGGCTGAAACTTGTTGTTTTTTCCTGTTTTCGAGGTGTCAGGTGTTAAAACTGGATCTATCACAGGATGCCATGTGCGTGTCTGAATTGTTTTAGCCCCTGAGACCTCTGGCATGTAATCATCAGGGTCAATTGGCAATAGGAAAGACCGCCGCTGAGAATCAGACAATGTGCGTTTGTGTTTGTGGCTCCTTCAAAGCTCCAAACTTGATTAAATCAGAACGAGCCGGTGGAGCCAACATACTCTGATATTTCAGTTTTTTCAGCATAAAGGTTTTTTTAGCTATACGTGTTTTATTCAGTTTATTACTTATGTTAAACAGTTGGTCAAAATTAAAATAAAGAAATATGTCCTAACATATATATTTATGCAGATGTTTTTTCTCTTCATTCAACAATAATAGAATATTAAGTGTTGTATATCTAGTGAGTGTCATTTAAAAGCAAACATCAGAACTTACTGAACTTGCCCAGATCTTTTTTGCTGCAAGAAACTGAGGTTTGCAAATATTACAATTTAAGGAAAAGTTACTGACTTTATTTCCGTTTTATTTTTTACAGTTCAAAATGCAATAACTTTACATTTTAAATCAGACATTTAGCAATGCTTGTCTTGCTTTGACATTAACCTGGGTTTCTTATTAAACCCACACCATGCTGAATCTCACTGCAAGAGAAGATGAGGCTCTTAGTGACTCTGCTAATATGCTGCAAAAACTGTAATCTGATTAATTGTTAACATGACCTCCATATAACTCAGAGATGGTGGCATTTTGTCTTAGTTATGTCTTTATTTTCTGCAATTCTGCAAACAACTTTACTTTTATTACATTATGCTTCTGTGGAAAACATTAAAACTTTTTTAGTTTTTTTCTCAAAAATATTAATTAGCATTTATTGAGGCTATAAGCAGACATATACTTCACCCTTTAGTGTTGCAGTAGGACCTCTAGAGTCTAATTTTGTATGAAACAATATTGAGACAAACCTAAGACTTAGTTTGTTGATTAAGAAATGTCACTTGGGTCCTAGGGGACAATAAAATATTTTCTAATCTATTCTATATAATCCTGTAAGTAATCAGCTGCGTAGTATTTTTCTGCCTGCTCGTTTATAATGTAAAGATAATAAAAAGTCCAAAGCTTCTAATTATTAGCGTTAATATTCTTCAATACTAAATGTTTGCTTCTTTTCTTTCCTCCTTTCTGTGGAAAGAAGGAGATCTGTTGCCAACGATGAATCTGAATACCTAAGCTCAGACAAACTGTGCTCTGACACACTGATTCTGACCAACCTATGCCAGGACAGTGGTAATATTGTCAATGAAGTGATGAAGATTGTCACGTCCAGAGGTGCAACAATGTCTGATCCAACCAACTTGGATTTTAAGTAATTTCCCACTGGGATTACTAAAATATTTCTGATTCTGATTCTTGAGGATGGTTATTGGGGGAACAGAGGTCCTTCAAGACCTGGATGTACCCAGATGATGTGCCTCACTAATGGGGCTGATATATGCACTCAACTAGCCTAAAACAACTGATGAACACAATATTTCTTGAGCTTCATGGTGTGAAAGCCAGTCCAAAGGTTATGTCTCTAAAAACTAAACGTCTTTTCTAAAACTGTGGCCTCAATAATTATCTTTTAAGATTTTTTTAAAGTCTACGTAAAACAGATAAGTTAGAATTGCTAAAAATTAAGTCATTAGCCCAATTCATATTACCAAACCTTTTAAGTATAAAAGTTTCTTCACCTTAATGTAGATTTTAGAGGAAAAACAGAATCCTGTTTATTGTACTAAAGTAATTGAGCATCATGGGATTTACTCCATAATGGTTAAGTTGGAACAACTTAAAAAGATCCATGAAAATTGTTAATTTATTTATTCATTTTTTTTGGTCGAGCCATGGTATTGTTTTTCTTGCGTCACTGCCTTACATGAAGCATGAAACCATGTACGAATGAACATGGGGGGGTTGGGGGGGGTCACGATGAAAATACAGTGTTACATCCTTCAAAGATGCATATCAGACTTCCTCTGGTTAGTTCTGCTAAACTGCAGGCAGAAGGACTCCCTCTGATCTTTGCAGGTGAAGCGTCACCAGTGTGTCCGTGGTATCAGATGTTCTGCGCTCCAAAGTTATGCTGAGATTCTAAGCTCTGCTCTCAACTGGGAACATTGAGATTAAAGAGGGTTCAATATAACTTTTGTCTCTACAACACAAGTTGTTTGAATTATGATAAAACTTCCAGATGAAGTCATGGTAGATGATTTTAAAGTGATCAGGATTGAAATACGGAGCCAGGATGGATGGATATAGATATTGGTTTCCATTCTCTGACCTTAAATCCCATTGCATTCTTTTGAATTTGAATATTTTAAGATGAAAAAACAAACATAAAAAGGATATTTACAGAATGTCTTAAATCTGCTTATCTAAACAAAGGACTACATCCATATCTGTCATCTGCATGAGATGGAGGCTCAAGTGTCTCTGCAGACACATTTCCTGACTCTGCTTTGACTGGAAATCTCCATCCTCTAACAATTCTCTCAGTCCGTAAGTAAATAGTGAGCCTACTCTAAAACAAACTTTAAAAAAGCTATCACAAGTGTTCACCCCCCCGGGACTCTTATCTGCTTCTCACTTTCCACCCCCACCCTTCCTCAAAATGTTATCAGCTCAACCAATCTGGTTATAAAGCACTGCTGGGCAGATTGAGGAAACTATGCATACATTTCTGGTGCTAAACCTTTATATAAATATTTTGTTTGTATCATCTTAAATAAATATTTTTGATTATTATATGTTATAAATTAAAGAGTAAAATAAACAATTTGCAACAAAGAAGGATGTGATGTGAAATGTAGATGTGGACAAATGCAGATAGTTGGTAGGAAGGTGGATGATTACTCTTTTCGGCATAAAGTGGGTAAATAAACCCAGAGACTTAAACAATCATTTCAATTTAATTTCTACATTAGTTGCTGACAGAACCATCGGTCAACTGTGATTTAGATTAGGGTAAATTTTAGGATGATGACGCCACCTAGTGGACTAATAGAATGCATGAAGGCAAGAACAACAGCAAAACCTGCAGTTTGCTTTGCAGAAAGCTTTAATCATTATATTTCTAACAGTAACACAGCTGGATTGTTGCGCTGAATGGAGCATCTGATTTGTTTAAAAAGATGAAGTGAAGCAGAAACATCACAGGAGACTTAAAAATGAGCAGAAATTCTAAAAGGGTCAGTAAGTAGTAATGCCAAGTTCACACCAAGAGCAGCAGGAGCAGCTAGTTTACATGCAGTCAATGGTTGACGCACATCGAGGGGCAGCCGAAGGTCCCGTCTATATGGCAGGCCATTTTGACATTTATTAGCTTTACTGAATATACAGTATATTCCAGATGTCTGAAATGCATTGAGATATCTAAAATAGCATTCTTCCTATCTAAAATATACATTGCAGTAGCTGAAATGTAATTCTTACTAGTACAAATGATGTCACGTTTCCCCTTCATGTGTATTGGGCTTTGACTTCCAGATATCTTAAATAACATTCTTCTTATCTAAAATAAACATTCTTCCTATCTAAAATGAATTTTACTAGGATGAACACAAATTTCTGACTAGCAGGAATGTAATTTTGACTAGGAAGAATCTTATTTTAGAGATCAACAAGTGGAGCAATAGAGAGGAAAGCCCTTCTAATAATTGTCAATTCAGCCTGCCATATATCCTACTGAGGGCCAGGTACAACCCTGGCACGTTCTTGTGTGTTGGCGTCAGGATTGTTGGGAAAACCCGGACTGGATTTTTAACAGTGCGGCATTAAGTTAGGGAACGGAGTTCAGTTTTAATGTTCATATGCGTGACAAACTGAGAGTGTGGAGTGAGAGCGTGTGAAGACACTAAAATGCGTGAGTCTCACCCCCAATGCTGGTGAGTTGGCAGCCCTGCAATGGTTGGCTCTACGTTATTAAAAGTGACCGACAGAGTACAGAAAATAGCTTATGAAAGCACTTCTTACCTCGTTGAAGTAGCTTGAAGAACAAACCCGGTGCCTGTCGAAGTCGCGCTACTTCCACGAATCATCGCGAGATTATACTGCATCGCTAATATCCCGAAAAAGAGGCCACCGGCCGCCGGTGGGTAGCTTTACAGCTAATATCACAGTCAGTGGATGTACTGACCAAGAAAATCCATGTATAACACCCTACAACCAATGGAATACCAAGAGAAAGATAAATAAGATCGGGAGATAGTTTAAATACAGTCTTGCTTTTGCAAATTAAGTTTGTCATAAACCTCTAAACAATTAATAGATGAATGTTTACCACAATTTTATTAAAAATGTTTAACATCAGTTTTTACAACAAGGTAGACAACCTTTTTCTTAAAAAAAAAAAAAAAAAATTTAATTGCATTTAAAACAAATCATTAAAATAATTACGGTTTAGATCTGACAAAAAAATATATGTTCTTAAATTTTTGTAGTTACATTTAAATAGACATTTTTGCTTTTTACAAACTTTAAAGCTTGGTGCTTTTTTTCTTAGATGTTCAAAGTTAAATGATCTTTAAGTCACATCTAGAGGCTTTAGTTCAGAAATAAATCAAGATTCTGTTAACAAGACTTCAATTAAAATAACCTGGGTAATTTCCTGTGCAGTGACCCCAGATTTAAATATTTGTATTTTGGAGCAATTTTTTCTGCCTTGTGACAAAGTGCTGCAAAAAAAAACATTGTTAAAAAAGAAAAAAAAAAAACTGCATCAGTGCTAACATGACAAATAACTTGTGATCTTCAGCTTTTTTTTTAGGTGATCCATTTTCCAAATAGAGCAAAGAGATTATAAATGTATTGCATAACATCACATGTCGTTCTTGTGCTAGTATTGAATAGAACAGTGGGCATGTTTACCCTATTTAGTGGCTGGAATGATTAATATCTAATAAATTATCAGCCTCCCAAACCCTCTGCTTTTCACCTGCCGTTACCCCTTTCTGTCATTATTTAACAAGAAAACCACAGGTGAAACTTAAATCATGGACTAATGCTAAATTGTTCCTTATTAAAAAAAACTTGAATCGCATGGGGACAGCATTTTTTTAAAAGCTCCAAAAGATCTGAAAAAACACCAGCTTTGGTTCATCCACACGCAGCTCGGATTCTTCAATTCAACCTAACTTCAGCGATTCTGTACAGAAGGTAGAAATATGATGCAACATGGTCATTTCTATCCCCACTCCATGTCAAATATTACAGAAACTATCATTTAAGTTTCTGTTGACCTGCAGAAGTCAGAAAAAACAACCACTTGCTAAACCAAGTTCACCTACTGAGCAAAAATTAAAAAGGAATCAAAAAAACTTCACATTCAGTAGACGCAAATTAACCTTCCTCTTTTGTACCGGTTCCAGACCTGTCTTATAACCTGTGGAGTGAGCTGAGGAGAACTTAAAAGAGGAGCCAGGATAATAAAGAGGAGAGTTATAAGATCCAAAGTTGTTTAATTGTGTACTTAATACAACACATTAAAAGCAGCAGTGTCTAAATTCTCACCACCAATCATTTAACAAGGTATATTTCTTTCTCCACTTGCATCAATGCATCCTTATTAAACATTTTGATTGAGATAATATGCTCTTTTTTACAGAAATAAGTGTGACAGGTTTTGTATTTAAACTGTATATCGAGGCAAGTGAAAACTTGTTAAAGAACTGTAGTCAGGGCCAAGTTTAAATACATTTATTTACAGTTGTTAGGATGCATAAAAAGGTCAATCTAAAAGAATACTTACTGGAAAGAAAACATCATAAAAATAAAACTGCAAAAAATATATAAACGGGGCAACATTAACAAGCATGCAACTGCAACATTATATTAGGGAAACCCAACAGAAACAGAATCCGTGTGAACAGCAGCAAACTAGTTTGAAGCAACGCTATGATTGGCTGACAGTGAACAACTCAACGGTCTTGGCAGCATGTTTCTTTGATGATGACACTACTGTTTCTCTGCAGCTGAGCCAGAAGCTTTCTGAATTCAGCCCTCTTTGGTGGCCTCTCCTGATTTTGGATCTCTGCCGATGCTCTGGTCTCATCGATTCTGTCCTGACTCTGCGTTTCTGGACTGCTGAAATCTTGGAGGTTGCTGCAGCTGCTAAATGAGCTGTTTAGGGTTTCACCCAAATCTTTCAACTCTGCGTCTTGCCCGTTTTGGAGGCGCTGTTGCTTAAAGACGCGGGGGCCCTGGGAGTTACTACTCCTCCTCCTTTTCTTCCTATTTCTTTTGGCCAAAAGTTTGGACTGCCTCAGGTTCCTGGCATGAAAATAAATTGCATATAGAGCGGTTATACAGGGGAAAGGCCAAACTGAAAAAAGTATATAAAAAAAAAAAAAAAAAAACACTTTACCTTCGGAGGAAGGTGTGTTGCCTCGAACACGGCGATGAGTGCTTCGGCCTTGGCACGTCGATTCCATCAAGCTGAACATGACTCAAAAGCTTCCTGTCAAAACACATTAAACCAACTTTAACCAGTGATGTTTGACACCAATTTCCTTTCAGATTCGATAGAGAGTAAAATACAGCCTAGATTGGTGATTCCAATCTGATCATTTGAGCAAATACAATACAGCTAACTTGCCTGTTAAATGTACAAAATAAGTCATCATTTTATTTTACTGAGTGGATCAAGTTCAAATTGCCACTAAAATATTGAATTAAATAAAAAAAAATGTCCCAATTATTTCCCAAAACATATCTACATTTTGCAATGTTAACAGTCATGGCACACATACATGCATTTCAAAAACTGTTATTCAGTTTAAAAGTTACCATAGCTGTTTTATTAAAATAACTAATTTATATAACTTTATGACACCCACTTAATCAATTTTAAATCTAGCCTCTAGCCTGAGGGTGGGTGACGAGGCAAATTACTCCAAGCTAAATTCATGCAGCTATTTTGCCCTCCTACCGCGCTTCCTGGTTATACTCTTACAGCAGTGTGTTGCGGTAAGCTTGACACAGACATTTTTGATTTATGCTCAATATTGAAGCGTGGTCTGTGCTACACACTGTGGGTCTAGATACGGCCGAGGCGGTGAGGAAGTGGGGGCGAGTTTTGTCCAACGATGGAGGGACATGAGGGCCGAAAAGAGCGGAGATCCAAGTGGAAAAAGGGTCCCAGCGTTCTCGCGCACCTCGCTCTTCTAGAGGATCAAACTTCACGAGTTGTTTTCCGCAATTGCGGTCATAAAAACAAAACAAGCCGGCCTCCTGTCTGCGGCACTGTCTTCGGTCAGCTACAATTTGGGAGAGGTGCAGCGGTGTGTCTGCGGAGGGGGCGGGGACATCTGGAGCAGAGGTATTGCATTGCACTGATTTTGTGCAGTATTTTTTTTATGCAAAGCCTTTCACAGGGGTATTTTTATTTTTCAGTGAATGAGGTTTTAGTAGGAATAGGTGGAGTGCAACTGTTCTACTTCTGTTATTTGCTGTTGTTTCTCAAAAAAAAAAATGCATAACATTGTAGCTTTCATTGATTTATTTCAAATTTGAAACATTGTCTAGCCTGTAAGGTGTGAAAAAAAATAAATTAATCGAATCTCGGTGTATTCTTGAGTATCGAAAATAATTGAATCGTTGGGTCAGGAAATCGATACTGAATCGAATCGCCATGATGGGTGTGATTTACACCCCTAAGTAGAACATGATGTAATAACGTAAAATTAAGGAGCCAATGTAAAAAAAAAAAACGGTGTTCCCCTTTAAGAGCCTAAAGTTCTGTTAGTGATATTTAATTATGTTTGCACACATCTCTAATTTCAACTTTTCTTACCGTTTGGCATTAGGTCGTCTTCCCGGCGTCCATCTTTTCAGCAGCACCCACTGGTCACAGTCCAGAGACTCTGGATCTGAAGAGGAAACCCATGTGAGACAGAAAGTTAAGTATGGAACAAGCTGAATTTCTACGGAGTCGACTTATCACACAGCACCCCATGTCATTATAGGTATCAAATACTTAAAAATTAAAATACTTTAACCAGTAAAATTGGAGAAATGTAGCGAGGTGGGATGCTATGACATTCTTTTTTCTGTGTTAATGTTTTAGTGTTGCTTTATGAATAATAAGCAAAATATTTCTTCTAAAGTTATACATTTCTAGTATAATTATTGTAGCTGTCCCTCTATTTTTAACAATAATTTTTGACAATCTTTTGGACCATATTTTACTTCTTAGAATAAGAATGCAATAAATAAACGAACCGTTATTGAGGAGTTTGTTTTTGACTGGCTCCTTCAACCTTTTGGCCTTTTCGTAGAGCTTATGGCAAGGAGAGCAAAGATGGCAGTAAAGCTCCTCTCGATTGTCGTAACATAAAGTGGAAGGACCAGAAGCTATGCTGCTGCTTTCAGAGTCGCTCTCATCGTTTGACTCATCCAGTCCATAACTGAGAAAGCCAACAGCCTCTGTTGAGGTTTTGTGTTCGGGAACGTGGCTTTTATTTGGGTTCTTGTTGATGAGGTCGATGATGTCACAGTCCTTGCTCTCATTTGAATCGGTTTCCTTCAATGATGACCTTCCCCTCCGGGTTCTAAGCCGAGGTTTTGGATTGTATCTGTCCCTCGTAGGACTGTTGTGGGTGCTTTTCAATCTGGAGGAACGTCGTATAGACATGGGTACTGTCCACTTCAGCCAGTACTTATATGACCTGTGAAAGAGAAACAGGGATTCATGATGATAAACCAAAACTTTATGCTGTTGACAAAATTAATTGGCTTTTTATCAGTATCCGTTCATAATCCTTTCTCACCTGTGATATTCTATTTTTATTATCCTCGAATGTGACAAAAAGACGTGTGTTTCTAGCCACAATGAAAGCAGAAAATAGACGCATGATACATAATGCAGAGTTATCTGAAGAACTTTTTCTTTTTTTTAATTATTGGATTCAATAAAGATCAAAGTGGCTTTATGAGTCGATCCTGTTTCTCTTAAACAATTCCTCTTTTCCGCTTGTCAATATATTTTATTGCACTTAATTTACCAGGTTTCATGGATTAAAATAATGTAAAACAATTTATATTAAACGCCGGCAAAGTAAACTTTAACAAATGTCTTTATCACAAAAGTTCAACACCAATAAAAAATAGTGCACTTTTACTTTAGCTAAAGTTAGCACCGGGCACGAGCATGCTAAGTTATGCTAGGCTAAGCTAAAAACAAAAAGCAACAACCAAAGCTCAAAGGTCGCTATTCTCTACTGACCAGCGGTCAGATTAAATACTCGAGTCGATTCATTTCTCAGACGGTTTCCATCTCCAGACATATTCCTAATTGGTTCAATTATCCGCTGAATGTAGAGCAAAATAACCCCGCGGACATTTTCATTCAAAGCTTTTTTTTTTTTTCCTTCATTCAAAGCTGAGCGTGCAGCGGGAGGCGGTGCGTGACGTCACGATGAAGAGCCAATCACATGAAGCTAAACAGAGTTCCGCTTCATCCAAACTTTCGCTACACCGCCACCAGCTGGCCAAGAAGAGTAACTGTGTAGTAATTGTTTCTTTTTCTTGAGGGTTAAATATATTTTATTTTTCTTTTATTCACATTGTCTGCTCTTAAAAAAAGTTAGAACTGTAAATTTACAGTCATAGGTTTATATTACAGTTTTTATTTATTTATTTTTTGTTTCAAGGCTTCACTTTAAAAAAAGATGAAATGGTCCAGAGAGCTGTTCCAAACGAAATTTCTTTTTGTTTTACACTTGTGTAAACAAAATGATAAATAAAATCTGTCTAAGTCTAAGTAATAACTGATGGATTACGTTTCAGCTGTCCTATATTTTGCCTCTACCGAATGCATAGCATTTTCTACAAATTTTCTACAAATCATTTGAACTTAGTTAGACTTAGACAGAACATTTAAAACAGCTCTCTGGACAATTTCATGTTTTAAAGTATAGCCTTGATAAGGTAAGGAGCAGGTTGAGCAGCTACTTTTTTACTTGAACTTTTAAGATTCAATCTTCTGCTTCACACACAAGTTATGTTTCAACACAACGATTTTGGGCTAAATCTAAATTCAATATGCTGTTATAGTATGTAAAATCCTTGATTACCATATTTAAGAAGATAGGTGGGTGGAAGTATAAACTTGAAATAGTGCCCGCTGACACATTAATTAATAGTTAATCCTGAGAGCAAACAGAGAACTCAGCAATATATCCTATTATTTTTTAATCGATTCTCTTGCCACTCATCCTGGTTTAATCAGAAGTTTGAGTAAGCTGGACAGGTCTTGCAGTCTGTAGAACAGGTGTTACACCATATTAGAATAGAATAGAACGTTTCTTTATTGTCCCACAATATTTTCTGGACCATCAAATACTGCGTGACCCAAGGGGCTTTTGTTTGTGATTGTCCTCACCAGTCTATCAACAAACCCTAACTGGAATTTCTAAACCTAACATCACAAAACCCTTACTTAAACTGAAGTCAAGTGTATTCATAGTGACCTCTTGGGCCATGAAGGGTCACAGAATACGGTTCAGCACATTGTAGCTGCTGTCTGCTACAATGTGCTGTACATTTTGTGCCACAAACATCCATGCACAGTTACTAATGGAAAGACACATATTTATCTCTGAAGATTTAAGATCCAAATTTATCTGTGACGTTTGTCCAGAAGCCCTCGCTACATTTGCAGATATTTACACATGCATGCCGGCTTTATTAAAGGTTTTGTGGACAATTGTTCGGCTTAGAACGATTGGTTGTCCTACATGCCAGTTTCGGTGATGTGCTCATGTAACACCAATGATCATGCTCTTTGTGCGCATTTCTAGTGTTAATTTATTCATTGAGCTTTCGTTTTAGCCATTCATTATAGCTCTGCTGCTCCCACCGTATACTTTGAAAAAGGCCAAGAGTTGCAACTATTTTATATTCACATATTTGCACAAGTGCAGTTGCTCAAAACATGACTAGGGCATTTCTTTCCTATATTTTTATTAAAATCATGCACTGTAGCTTATATATAGTTTTGAATGTTATTAATATAGACACTCATAAATATCTACATTAAACAGGTCTGGCTGTTATATAAGTGACTTACCTCTTTATCCTTTCCAAAAAAAACACAAAGACTGGCTCTGAAAAGAGCAGTTTTTCTGTATTTGTCCTCTCGAATGTTAATATATTGATGTGGGAAAAAAAATCTATACCTTTTTTGTTGTCAGATTATGGTTAAAACACTAAAATTACTTTATATTTAGTGTAATTACTAAAAAGTCATTCAGTATATATCTGGAGCATGCTAACCTCTAACAAACCCTTCTCCCCCAGCTGAGCTCCTTCCTCTCTAAACATTTGCTGTACCTGCTTTTCCTGCTCTAGCAACTAAGGAACATTATATATTTGAACGCCATCAGCTGAGTGTGAAAATGCCTTTATTTATATTTTAGGATTTTATTCCCTTAGGCTCCATAGAGGTAGCGCAAAAACTTTTTTTATTTCTACCAAAGGTATCACTAAACTATATCTAGAACTAATATTTAATTATTTTATCATAGATATTTAGATAAAGACCCGGATGAAAACACATAAACCATCGTTAGAGATTCCGCTATTTCAGTGCATCCTATTAGAATGTAGATATTTCCTTGTATTTATATAGAAATATATTTTCTCTAGTTCCTTTTAATATTTTTGTTTTACTATTTAACTATATATGCCTATATTTAGTTTATATATTTTAAACAAAGGTCTGAACTGTAATGGCAATATGTCTTGCAGTTTTTCTGAGTTATTTGTGTTATTAAGTCCTAAAATTTCAGTGGATATCATGGGTAACTCTGCTACAACAATGGAAGTTTAGTTTTTGTTAATAAAGAGAAAGTGCTAATTTTTCATGTCTTTCTTTAGAGAACTACTCTTATAAATAGTGAAAGGGAATTTACATATTCTAAATGAATGAATGAATAAATAAATAAATATTTATAAAATGGACAGAAAAGAGGGAAATGCTGGGATTATAAAAATATTTTGTAGAAACTGTAATTTAGTTGTTATTTAAAGATTATATTTAAAATTTTAAAATGCATGCTGGGCCTGGAAAAGAAATATGAGTAATGTTTTAATAAGATTTGGAAACAATTTCAAACTACTTTTATCCCAGGTTTTATTGCTAACATACAAAAAAAAAAAAAGTAAATATACCTTTATAATTTAGCAACATAGCACATTTGTATTTCTATCATGTTCTTCTTAGCAGTCCAATTTTAACTATTTCCAGGAATAATTGTAGACTTTTAACACAACAATATTAAATCATTTGCATTTTAGACTTAGTTTAATGCATGAAACAAGGGCTTTTTCTACAGTTAGTATTTATCACAGACGGTTGTGGTGCAACATAGTCACCCTTTCAAATACCATAGTTATTTGAGCATAATGATATTTATTATTAAGGTACATTTTTGTTTATGAATGTGTTATTTTCATAACACTAGATCTTTTCAATTTTATATCGGCAATCAAAAAACATACAACTGAACTAATTTCCTGTCATCCATTGTATTGCTGTATCTTAAGCTACCGTACTTTAATTAATGCTACTGAGTTAGCAGTCTGTCAGCAGACATAGTGTTAATATTAACAATCGCATTTATATTTTCTAAATGAAAAAACAAAAACCAATATTTTCTTAGATTTTCCACTTGTTTATTGATTTATTTTCATTGATAAAACAAGGAAACAAATATAATGATTCATCGAAATCAACAAAATCTCATCAGCACAGAAATAAAATAATAAAATCTAATATACAAACAAATAATCAGGCAGCTCCTATGAATAAACTCCCCTACAGCAAACATGTTTTCTGCTGACATGCAGGAAAAAAATGAGAAAAGGTCTTATTTGGCACCGTATCATGCTGCAAATTCCACAACGACTTCCTGACTGGGATTACTTTTGTTTGTGCAAACACTCCTGAACCCACTGAACTTTACCTCAGTTGTTCCTTTCAAACATAGATAGCAGCCTTTTGTTTAGTTTCTTTGTAAGCGGCGGATACATATTCTAATTACTTAGTAACTAAAGAACAGAGGCTCCTGACCTTTACCTACTGAGGACAGATAGTGCTCTACTTTCATTTGAGGACTTTGAACGTACACAACTCTAATTTATAGAGGAGCTTCAGCAGCTTTAGGACCAACAGCTTTACTCTTGCTTTTTTAGTGCAGAGGAAAGAAGGATTTTCAGATCTATTTTTTTAACAATTGTTCTCATTGCATTGGAGAAGGAAGGAAGAGGGATGCGGCAATCGGTTGTGTTGGTGTTATTCCTTCTGAGCATGGCTTTAGAGGACCGAGCGGCTGCAGAAAAAGTAAAGGACTCTGCAGAAACCCCCAAGCTTGTTAAACCAGACAAAGTTAAAGATACCAACACTACTGTGAAAAGCAGCTCTTCACCAAAGTTTTTAGGTAACCTGCTGGTGATACCCATGGATGGGAGTCATTGGGTGGGTATAAAAGCCCTTGCACAAGAATTGGGTCGACGCGGCCACAGGGTAACTGTTGTGATTCCTGAGCACAACCTACGGATGGGTCCTGGGAAATACTACGATACCATCTTCTATCCGGTTCCTTATGATAAGGAACATGTTATTAATTTGCTGTCTTCACACAAGGATGTCTTAGAAAAATCAGTACAGCCGTTCATGGAGAAAATAAAGGCAAGATTCACCCAGATTGGAAAAACCAGCAATTTTCTTCATACCACTGCAGAGAGTCTGCTGTTTAACACCAGCCTCATTCATCATCTAGCAGAGCAGGTGGGTGAAAACAGAACATGGGAGCCTATCGGTAGGTTTTATTCACATTTGTTGCATGAATTGTTTTTTACTCAAATATTTTCAATAATTATTTCAACTGGTTTGCTGTATTTTCAGAATTCATTTTAAACAATAGATTAAGCCTAAAATACTCTTTGCCCATTTAAAACAGATTGGACCTTTCCTAAAAAAAACTGTTATAATAGTGGCTTGGATTTATCAAAGCCTATTGACCTATATATTGACCATATTGATAAGATCTATAAAAAAGTAGTAGAAGGAAGGAAGCAAATTATATATCATGTAGTTTTTTCCTTTTTTTTTTACAAATCAAATCTCAAGTATTGTACATTATGCTGTTGATCTATTTTAGTTTGTATTCCTTTTTTGTTTGGACAATGCTTTTTACTACAAATTTAAACAAACATTCATTTAATCAAGAAATGATGTCACGGCTAGTCAAACAGAAATAAATGGTAGAGCTGCAGTCATCCCCCTCATTTTGTTTCATAGAAGTTTGATGCGGTCCTCACAGATCCAATGGTCCCAACAGGTTCATTCATTGCTCGGAAACTTGGTGAGTTTCCTCTCTTTTAGATTACATTTTTATGTTTGCTTTCCTATGCAGTGGACCACATATATTTTAACAAGTGCCACAATAAGTACCATGCTTTCATTGAAACCACATTTAGAGAAAAATTAAACCACAGAGATAGAAGTCTAATACACAGAAACCTTCAACATCTTTCAAGACTTTCATTATAACTCTCTGTTTGTCTCATAGTTGACATCATTCCCCGCTAGCTGTATTCTGCAGAGTCCTACGGAAGAGGATATGGCCACTGAAAAAAAAAAAAAGTTAACTGATTTTTAAATTTTATTTCAGTTTAATATGGGAAGAAAGTCAGAATTCTCACTTTTTTCTGACTTTAATCTCAGAATTCTGAATTTTTTCTCAGAATTCTGACAGCTAACAAACAAGCTATAGCCATGTCTGTTTTAGAGACTAGCTGTCTTGTTTTAATGACCTTCTGCTCCTCCATTAATGAGGGGACCCCTTGGGCACGTAAAAAGTTGCCTAATTCCATCATTTTCCGCCAATTTGTCACTGGCCCTCTCAAACAACTCACATTTTGTCAGTGAAGCTGAGTGCCCCACATCTCTTCCTTCATGGTGCCAACCTACATTAAGATCCAAAATTCTGAGATTAAAGTCAGAATTCTGAGATTAAAGTCAGAATTCTTAGAAAACAAAGTCACAATTCTGAGAAAAAAGTCAGAATTCTGAGAAAAAAAAATCAGAATTCTGAGAAAAAAGTCAGAATTCTGAGATTAAAGTCAGAATTCTGAAAAAAAAGTCAGAATTCTGAGATTAAAGTCAGAATTCTGAGACTAAAGTCAGAATTCTGAGATTAAAGTCAGAATTCTGAAAAAAAGTCAGAATTCTGAGATTAAAGTCAGAATTCTGAGAGAAAAGTCAGAATTCTGAGACTAAAGTCAGAATTCTGAGATTAAAGTCAGAATTCTGGAAAACAAAGTCAGAATTCTGAGAAAAAAATCAGAATTCTGAGAAAAAAGTCAGAATTCTGAGATTAAAGTCAGAATTCTGGAAAAAAAAAGTCAGAATTCTGAGAAAAAATTAGAATTCTGAGAAAAAAGTCAGAATTCTGAGATTAAAGTCAGAATTCTGGGATTAAAGTCAGAATTCTGAGATTAAAGTCAGAATTCTGAAAAAAAGTCAGAATTCTGAGATTAAA